TCCTTTCTATTTTTCATCGTCTCTTTTAAGTAAATATATCTAATCCTTGAGCTTTTAAAAAAGGCATTAGCAACTTCTTTTTTGTTGTTGTTGTTACTAGGCAAAGAATTTTATTATCCTTTTTTCGAACTTTAGTCCCAGGCTTATTCAGCTTAATTTACTTACAAAGAATGAATTGTGTTTAAGCAAAAACTGAAAAGAACTGCAGTGTCCAAGGGACTTGGGCTTAAAAATATTAGCACTCTTGATTTGATCAGATCCATAAACAAAAGACTTTTAAAAAGCAGCCATGATATAAAACAGTAGCTCACTTCTTCAGAAGTTGCCTCCACTCAGTTTCCCCCATTCTTAGGAGCTTCATCAACATTCTCCTCCAGATCTGGGACTTCATCATCATCCTCTCCAGTAGCAAGTGGTGCTCTTCTATCCACAGATTGTTTGCATAGAGCTTCAGCCACTCTCCATAAACTAGTCAGACTGTCTGCCCCAAGCTGGTTTAGAATGCTGGGAAGCATTTCTGTCATTTGTTTTGTCTCAACGTGGCCTGTAATGGTGAAGGTATTTGCTACCAGAGACGCCTGAACTTTAGGGTTGTTAAAATGGAACACTGTTATTGGTTTGTAAACATGGTCACCTCTTCAGTACCAGAGATACTGTTCACCCCTAACTTCTTTAAGAACTGCAGTTTTTTATCATCTGCTGTGGCTGTTCTGTGAACCCCTTCTTCTTTCTGCGAGCAGTTCCTTTCCCACCAGTGCACACTTGTGCCTGCGGTTTGCTATTTTCCTGGTTCATGATTGTCTTTTCGGAGTAGAAATGGGGCCACGCGGGGGACTAGGGTTTGTGTTCAGGGGGTCTCGAGCCAACCAGCTGAGATAAGATGCATACACGTGGGAACGTAAGATGGCCAAAAGGCACTAACTTCTAATCAGATGATAGACTGTGTTTATTGAGTTGGTTCTACCTCCTCCTTTAATTTTTGCAGCACTGAGGATTGAACTGGCATGTGCTGAGCGTATCCTACACTCTGCCAGATCTCCAGTACTCCCCTGCCTTTAATCTGTTAATGGAGGAACTCAACAGCCTTAGCTTTTCTGATGTTAAATCACTCTGCAGTTTTGATAAGAGCCCTGCTTGGTTTTGATAATTTAAATATATATTGTGCTTGATACATAATCTGTGTATTAATTACTGGATTTATCAAGTTTGTATATAGGATATATATTAGACTCTTTAGTCTGTGCTTGCATGTGTAAATTTAGGCTGAATGTAATCCCACATAATGAAGGGCTTAACTCTTCCCCTGCCCTTGTTAGGTCTTGTTTACACTAGCCTCATCGTGTGAGATGAGTGCATATCTCTTGTAATCGGATGTAATAGGATGGTTAAAGTTCCTTACCTCCTTGGTAGAACCTGCCTATAAATTCATCCGGATCTGGAATGCATAAATAAACTTGAAATCATAGATTTAGTCTCTTTAATAGTTATGAGACTGCTTATATTTTCTATTTTAGAATTTTTTTCTGTTTTCAAAGCTGTTGGTCTAAATTATCCTAATGGCCTCTTAAGATTAAAAAATTTTAGCACTTGGGAGTCAGAGACAGGGGGACCAGGCCAGCCTGGTCTACAGAGCAGGTTCCAGTATACACAGGACTACACAGAGAAACCTTGTCTCAAAAAACAAAGTAAAAGATTAAAACTTTTACTGTTTTGATAACTTGAGACAGGGTTTCTCTGTGGCTTTGGAGCCCGTCCTGGTACTAGCTCTGTAGACCAGGCTGGTCTCGAACTCACAGAGATCCACCTGCCTCTGCCTCCCGAGTGCTGGGATTAAAGGCATGCGCCACCACCACCCGGCTTTTGATAAATAACTCTTTTACCTTCTCTTTTTTTTTAAGCATCATTTTGCCAAAAGTTTATCAGTATTACAAGCTTTTTTTAAAAAAAAATCCATTTTTTTGTTTTTTGTTTGGTTCATTTTTTTTTTTTTTGTTTTTTGAGACAGGGTTTATCTGTGTAGTCCTGGCTGTCCTAGAACTCGCTTTGTAGACAAGGCTGACTTAGAACTCACAGAGATCTGCCTGCCTCTGCCTGCTGAATGCTGGGATTAAAGGTGTGCACCACCACCACCTGATGCACAATTAATGAAAGCTCAGAGTCAGATATTGAGGTTCAGCCTGAAGATATGAAAAGCAAAGCAGCCGGGCGCTGGTTCTTACCTCTACCTCAGTCTGAGATGGCGATCCTGCCTCCAGGAATCTCAGGATGACGCTGTAAGAACAGGCTCCTCCCGTTTTATAGTCCTTTCTAGTTCTGGGATTAAAGGCATATACCGCCAGGTTTCTATGGCAACTGGCTACTGGGATTAAAGGTATGTCTATAAGACTGACCAGTGGGACTGTTTTATTTTCTGATTTTCAGGCAGGCTTTATTTACTAAAATGCAAATGAAATGCTACTACAAATGCCAGGCTAAAAACCTTTTGTTTCTTAGTTTGTTGACAATAATATTTATTGTGTTTTCTACTTATTCCTTTTTGAGACAAGGTCTGTTGTAACATGTAGCTCTAGCTGGCCTGGAACTCACTGTGTAGGTCAAGCTGGCCTTGAATTTACAGGTATCATAGTTTTAATCCTAATGGGATTAAAGGCAACCTGTACTTAGGATCACATTTTCTATTTATTTAACTTTTTATTTGCTTTGCTTACTAGTTACTGAGAAAGGTGTGTTAAAATCTCATGTTGTAATTGTAGATTGAACAGTTTCCCCTTTTTTAATTTTGAGATTACCTTAAAGATATATATATTTAAGCCCAGAATTGTTAAAATCTTCCGATATTATTTTGAAGTAGTCCTCATTTCTAATAATGCATTGTCTTAAAATGTTTTACTTACCATTATAAAACATATTTTGTTTTCATTAATATTTTTCAGGTTTATAAAAATTTTCCTATTGATTAAACCTGTCTTGTCACATATTTATAAAGTTTCTTGTATATTCTATATGATTAAGTTAAAGTCTTACTGAGACCCTTGAACTTTTAGCTAGTCATTTTGGTTCGTTTCTGTTTATTTTATTTGTTGAGTATTTACGTTTTAATTTTGTTTTGTACTTTTTTGTGGCTTTCTAACTTTTTCTTCCTTTCTATTAAGTTCGGGGTTCTTTATTCTCTTTTCATCTCTGCTGATTTGCAAGCTTTATGTGTATAATCTTTCTTTTCTTGGATAGTTAGTTACCCTTTGTTGTTGTGTTTTAAACCTTTTCACAGAAATAAACTACAACTTGCTAATTTTTCCAAGCTGAAATCACCAGTGTAACCAAGACTCCCCTTACTCCTCAATCAAGAACTGGTGTTGGGGGGATCTGTGCCTGTAATCGGAGCACTCAGGAGGCTGAAGCAGACATACATACATACATACATACATAGCAAGACATTGTCCGAGAAACTAGAGGCTGGGGATTGTAGCTCAGTGGTAGAACACTCAGGTCCTGGGTTTGAATATTCTCAGCACATGAGAAGTCCCTTTTCAAACACACCTAGTGAGTGCCCCCTCTCCCAGTACCCTTTGCAGGTCATTACTTTTCAGATGTCTGGTGGCATGGATTGGTTTTGTCTGTTTTACTGTTCTTATATGTGGCTCTTTTGCTGTAGTATATATCTTTGTGTCTTGCCTCTTTATTCAACATGTAATTTTGATTCCTTGTAGATTAATCTGTCTTTTCTCTCTCGCTTTTAAAATTATCTGTATGTCTTAGATTTTCTTCATTTACAATCTGTCCAGATACAGATTTGCTTCTGTTGTCCTGCTTGTAATGAGTTTTTCTGAATTGACATCTTTTATTGGTTCCCAAAATTTTAAATCCTTAGCTTGTTTACTCAAAAGCGGTGGGGCTTCACGCAGGACGGTGACTTGAACAAACCTCTGAAAAAGTTATCTTGCTCCTTGTTTGCTGGTTACTTTGGACAAAATATTTCAATGGCCTGTACCTCAAGTTCTCATTTTCCTACCTCAGATCTATCTGAATATCAAACGGAAGAGCATTGCAAATTAGGATGTCAAACACAGCACAGAGTTAAGCTGGCCACAGACACTGAAAATTGCTGAGTGGATTCCAATAATGCTTTGTCAAACGTTTAGTGAGTGAGCATCACAGTCTTCATTACTCAGATTCTGTCCGTTTCCATCCTATCTTTCCTCTCCTTCCCACACCTATGTAGAAACACAAGAGTATTTGTGCCACATGCACATTTTAGAATGGTTTAGGTGTGAAGTTAGAATCTACCCATCTCCAGCACTGTACAAACCAGTGTGCTCTGGTGGGTAGGATTTAATGTCTCTGCAGTTCATTTTGTCTAGATCAGCCGTACAATGCTGAACATAACTTTGTCTTAGTATGCATTTGAAACTGAATTAATGTTTCCTTTCTCTCCATTAGATTTGTGGAGATTGTCTTATGAAAAGTTCATGGGCTTAAAATTAGACAGATCTGGGACCAAATCTTGACTTGACCATTTCCTGACCTGTGACATTAGGCAAGTCACTTTACCTTTCTGGTGTTCCACTTTTCTGAAAAATAAGGTATTAATTTATTTCTGGATTCAGTGGATATGTAGAATACTCTTTTGGCTATGTAAGTGGCTTCATTTTATTCCTGTAACAGCCTTATAATACAGATTAATCCTCTTAAAAGTGGAGAATCTAATACTCAAAAACAGGATAACTTGCCCAAGCTTATACAGCCCACATGCACTGCAGCAGGTGTAGCCCCGAGTATCTAATTATAAAGTCTATGGCCTTAGTAGTAGCTAAGGCTTTTAGCACAGACCTGGGAGTTAGCTGACACTCAGTAGATGTGAGCGTTTGTGGAGGGCAGCAATGCTCTTATAAACTTCTAGCAGTTGATAGTGCCCTGTACACAAAGGCACTTAAGAAAAAGCCAATGCTTATTGTTTCTGGGTATGCTTCTATTCTTCTGTTCATTGTATGTTCACTTTTTAGCTAAAGGGAAAGGACAGCCCCAGGCCAGGGTGAATATTAACACAGCCTTGGTTGAGGATATAATCAACTTGGAAGAGGTGGATGAAGAAATGAAATCTGTGATGGAAGCACTCAAGGATAATTTCAATAAGACTCTCAACATAAGGACTGCACCAGGTTAGTGGTTAAACCCATGTTTCAGGGAGCGTTACAGTAGGATAGAGCATGGGCCTGTCACCGTGTCAGTCCCAGCTTTGGCACGAATAACTGATGTTTATGAGCAGTTACTTTTCTGTAACTAAGGAGTTTCCTTGTCCAATTCCTGCTGTAGAGTGTAAATGAGTTAACTGTATCATGGTTCTAGAATAGTGGGGCTTGTGTCCATTAAGTGACTCTCTCCCGTGGAGTAGCATTGTGCTTGGCCTGCGGGGAACCAGCATAGCAGTAAGCAAAACCTGTCATGATCAGTGCATGTGGAATTACACTCTCACAAAGTAGTTTTTTTGTGAATACTATAAGCATATGTGGGTATCTTGTCTCATAGTCCTATGTCCTTAGTCTGCTTTTTCTAGTTTGCGCTGTTTGGCCGTTCTTAACCAGCACTGAAAACCACATTCTGCAGACTTGCCCACCTGAGGCCTTTCTCTGCCCATAAGCTTACCAGGAAGATTCCGCTTAGGTTAATAGCTTCCTGAAAGTGGCTTTTCTAAGTGGGAAACGTCAGGACTGTCTAGGAGAACTGTTTGCAGATGTGATAGAGAAGTGGGCTGTCAGCTAATGGTGCAAGCGGGCAGGAAAAATCCAATTGCTGTTAAATTGGCCTTTTGCGAGTTGTCATCATCCTACAGTTAAGTCGGAGACCCCCTCTGAAGGTGTCTTTAGGAACTTCAGCCTCTCCCACTCATGTTTTGATTGGGGAGGTTTGTAAGGAAAATAGACGATATTTCATGAACTTGTTTCTGAAAAGTACTCAGTTCATTATAAAAATGATCAGAACCACGTTGAGTTCAAAGATGCGATCTGGTGTGAGACTAGAAGGCAGTTCCTGGCATTTGTTAACCTTTGTGCTGGAGTGTTTCTGCCTTTGCTGACAGTAAAGCGTGCCATTCAATCTTTCCCAACTGTTTATTTTAAGCTTGCTTATTATTTTAGGTATGAAACTGATAAAGTGCTCTGTCTCCCTTGTGCTTTCTGCCTGTTAACATTCTGCAGCCGAAACCAGAGAGCAGCTTGAGAGAAGCCCAGGGAGAAATGTGATACTTAAAATGAGCCAGCCAGTTCCACTCTTGTTGAACTTATGAAGATGATGGGCTCGGAAAGAGGGTGGGAGTGTAATTTGTTAACTGTTAACCTCTGAGAAAATGAGGGACAGGAGTGAGCTTGAGGGAGATTCCCACTGGGGACAGATTGAGGGGAAGGGTTTGATGCATTATGTTGATAAGGATTGAGGGATAGGCACCATTACCACTGCACTCTGCCCATGTGGGGCCTTCTGTGGCAAAGGCTCTTAACAGCCAGTCAGGGAGGCGGAACTAAGATCTATCTTCAGCAGACCTCCACTTGGAATCTCCCCTTCTTTTCCTTGGGTTAAGTTTGTGTAATGTTCTGTGTAGATTTTGAGGCTGTGAAGAAACTGGGTAAAACAAGCTACACATGGCCCATGCTCTCTGCTGGAATGGCTCTTCTATATCATTTCTATAATATATCATTTCATAAGAGGTTACCTGGACCTCTTCACTGCCATCCAGCCTGTGTCTATCTCAGAGACAGCAGATGGCTGTCAACACTTGTCTGAGGTGCAGGTTTGTTCTCTCCTTCTTGCTGCTTCCCCTTTGTCCTTCATTCATCTGTTTGTTTGCACAGTAGTATTGAGCACTACTGTAATAGATGGGAACATGGAGAGGGAAGATCTGGTTCCTAATGTCCAGGAATTTAGAGCCTCATATGAAAGGGCAGACAAACTGATGCACATAAGAACAACCTAACAGCGAAACAGTGGAAGCATGACTTTGGAGGTGGTCTTGCATGGACTTGGATTTAAGTTCTGTTATTAAGAGCTGTTGTGATGTTGGGCAAGTCATTCTGTTTACCTCAGTTTCCTCATCTGTAAAATGGTGGCGGCAATAATAATGAAAGCAAGTAATATTAAAAAGCATTAGCACTGGAGCTTTGCTTATAGGACGTAGTCAGCAACTTAAGACTGCCATCATTATTATTGAGACATGCTTAGAATGCTGAGGGCTTATAAGAAGGGTCTGTGATACAACTGAGGAGTCAGACAGGTTCTTGAGATTAGATATCACTGCCCCGAGACTTTAGAGAAAGAGCAAAAATTATCACAGTAAAGTAGACTGGGATATCTGCTATCCCACATAGTAGACTACATAGTGAGCTCCAGGCCAACCAAAGCTACATAGTAAAACCTGTTTTTTTAAAAAAATAAAAGTATTGAAGAAAAAAAGTCACATTCTAGAATCTTATAGCAGCTGTGCTCCCTCAACTTACAGAGTACTAGGGTCACGAGAGGAGTCAGCAGACCCAGCTTCAGATATGATTTGTTCAAGGGCTGCTGAGGAAATGATTAATGAATCTAAAATACAATGAATTGAGAGATTCAGGGTTATTAAGATACCAGTTCTCTTTAACTTGATCTGTTGATGTATGGAAACCTGAACCTAAAATTTCTAAGTGATTATAGTTACTTTGTTGTTGTTATTGTTTGTTCTTGTTGTGTTTTTCAAGACAGGGTTTCTCTGTGTAGCCCTGCCTGTCCTGGAACTCACTCTTTAGATCAGGCTGGCCTCCAACTCAGAGATCCGCCTGCTTCTGCCTCTCTGAGTGCTGTGATTACAGGCATATGCCACCACTGCACAGTGATTATAGTTAATTTTAAAAGATGAGAAAACATTAAAAAATTATAAAGTGATTTAGTCAACTAATTTATGTCAATCGATGGATGATTCTGTAGATCACTTTTGGTGATGTGGTCAGTTAAAAAATTGTTAACTAGTCAGTGAACATGGTAGATATTTCCAATCTTGTGAATCTTTCAACTCCTTTAACCATTGCTTTTTAATTTTTTTGTTTTTCAAGACAGGGTTTCTTTGTGTAATTCTGGATGTCCTAGAACTCACTCTGTAGAACAGTCTGGCCTCTAACTAACAGATCTGCCTACCTCTGCCTTCCAAGTGCTGGGATTAAAGGCATGTACTACCACCACTAGGCTGTTTTGTAGTACTTAAAGTAGACATCTATACTTTCTTAGTTAAGTTTATTCTTGTTTTTAAGTTATGATGAATTAAATAGCTTTTATAATTTCAAAAAAAGGAGAAGTATATTCCTAATAGAGAGAAAATTACATGCAAGGATATTAGTTTGATTAAAATACAAAGCTTTCCAAAAAATAGTAACAGCATTATTGGGTCTTAGTTATAATGCTTTTTAATATAGTTTTAAGTCTAATCCTCATTAAAGCCCTTGAAGTACAGTTTTTGTCTTATTTAAAGATCAGGAAATGGAGGCGCAGAAGGTACTTAGAATCTGGAAGCAGTGAGCTGGTTTTTGAATTTAGGTATTTGAATTTTAGAATCATGGTGACTTTTTATTTTTATACTCTGATACTTTTTCAGGTTAAAGCCAGTGGTGTCAATCCTTGTCTGTCATGATGACACTGAATCTGATTGAGTACTCCAAATCAGGTCTTTGGGTCATAGTGTGGTATTTACTTCATTAATCCTACACTGTAGTCCAGAATAGCTTTAGTTAGTAATTGATGGGGGAGGGCCCAGCCATTGTGGACAGTACTTTTCCTGTGTTGGTGGTCCTGGGTTCTATAAGCCAGTAATCAGCACCCCTCCATGACCTCTGCATCAGCTCTTGCTTCCAAGTTCCTGCCCTGCTTGAGTTCTTGTCCTGGCTTCCTTCAGTGATGATCTGTCCTATGTCACAGGAAAGGCCTTAAGTCCAGGAAACCAGAATGGTTACTTACCTTGGTTCTAGTAAGGAATTCCAATGTGGTTCATTGCCTGAAAATGCTCCTGTGAACAGCCTTGTCTCATTGGGAAGGGATTCCTGTGTGTTTGTTAAATTTTAGATAAAGATATCTAATTTAGATAAATTAGATAGAGATACGGGCTTCTAAAGTCTTTTAGAATTCTAAAACCTTCTTGCTTTTTCCTTAGGATCCCTTGATCATATTACTGTGGTAACTGCTGATGGGAAGCTTGCTTTAAATCACATTGGCCAGATCTCCATGAAGTCACCACAGTTGATTTTGGTGAATATGGCCAGTTTCCCAGAGGTAAGGTGCCTTATTGAAAGGTATCTGTCTTCAGTGTTTTGAATAGTGGAGGTTTGATCAGGTCTGAAGGAAATGTCCCCTTTAGTTTGGGAAGGAATTTATTAAAGAAAATATAGGACGAGAAAAGTCTCTTATCTCTGAAGTTTTAAAAAATGATTATCTTTATTTCATGTATATTGGTGTTTTGCCTGCGTGTATGTCTGTATGATGTGTCAGATCTCCTGGAACTTTTGAAAAAATTGTCCAGGATTTTATAGATTCAGGTGTGGAAAAGATCAGATCCAGGAAAACAATGTATCACTATATATAGTTGTGAGTTGCCATGTAGGTACTGGGAATTGAACCTGGGTTCCATGGAAGAGCAGCCTGTGCTCTCAACCACTATTTCTCCAGCCCCATCTCTTAAGTTTTTACCTGTTAAATGCAAATGTTATAGCAACCAATTAAATAATTCAAAAAGCAATAATGGAGAGGTTGTGATTGGCTCTTGGGGCAGTGTAAGACTTTTGTAACCTGTTATCTTAGTTACTTTTCTATTGCCATGACATAACACTATTACCAGGGCAGTTTATAAAAAAAAATCCATTTAACTTGAGGCTCACAGTTCTAGAGAGTTAGTCTATGACCATGATAGAGGGGGAACATGGCAGCAGGTAGGCATGGAGCTAAAGCATAGGTAAGAACTTTTGAAACCTCAAAACTGACCCCCCAGTGACTCACCTTCTTCTCGAAGGCCACACCTTCTAATCCCTCCCAGACAGTTCCAACAACTGGAGACCACACATTCAAATATGTGAGCCATAGAGGGGGATTCTCATTCAAATCAGCATGCCTGGAAACCATGTGGCCTATCTGTGGGGCACCTCTGTCCAGTTCTTGTTGATAATTGCCAGGCAGAAATGTAGACCTGGTAATTAGTATTAACAGATGCTCCAGTTTTTATTTCCAAGAGACACCAGTAACCCCAAATTTTGTACAAAGTCTTTTTGTTCTCTAAATGTTTTGGACTAGTTTACTTTTCTCTTTTTAAAATATGGGCATCCGGGAGGGTTGGCATGTGTCTGTTATCTTAAGTCTTGGGAGGTGGAGGCAGGATAATCAGGAGTTCAAGGATAATTTAGGCTACACAAAACAAACAAAAAACCTTGAGCCGGAATAAAACATTTTAAATGGGCCAGTTATGACCTGAGAGCTGCTATTTTGTTACTTCTGTATTAGAATTTGGAGAAGACCCTCTAGGACTTCACCTTCTTTCAGACTAGACAGAACAATATAAGCAGTGCCTGGCATTAGAGACTGGAAGATGAGTTGCATTTAACCTTGGGGCTCTATGGTTTTAACTGTAGTTGAGAAACCTAGAAAACGTGAAATCCAGTCCTTTCTCTGCCTTTTCCTTTGGCAAGTTACTTCCTCTCTTGCCGCCATCGCCTGACCATCCTGCTCTGGTCTCTGTGTCAGTAGTTTTGTTCATGTCAGGCTGTGTGTTGGATTTGACAAACCAGTTTAACAGTAGGAGCAGAACAGACCGTTTCCAGTCAGAAGGGTCCTGTGACTGATGCAGCAGGCACACTTTTGGATTTGTTGAACCACTGCCCCTCTCCATTCTCCATCCTTCACCCACAGTGAACTTTAGTGTTTCAAGGTATGTGTTGGATTGTATCACTCTCACAATTCAAATGATCTTTAAGAAGTAAAAGTTTAAAATGTTTACTGTGGACAAAAAGGCTTTGGTAATCTGGCCTCAGCCTGCATCCAGTCTCTGCAGTCCTGTGGCATTGTCTTCCTGGTACTCTGTTGTACTCAGACTGGCCTTAAAATACATCATGACTTTTACACCCTCAGGGTCTTTGTAGGTACTGTTCTTGTGACTTGGAACATTTTTTGCTGGCTGTTTGCTGCTCAAGTTTTGAATTACAATGTAGATGTCACTTTTTCACTAGATTGTAAGCTTGCAGTAGGAGAGTCATGTATAACTTTTTCATTGTGTTCACACCAAACAGTGCTGGGCACATGGAACTGCTCCATACATTGTCTTTACATTGGTGGATATGTATTATTAGGTATATGGAAGGGAAGCACTCATTCATGGCCTTACTGAGGAGCATAGAAACATGAAAAGGAACTGTCAGCTTGTTCTCTGTTGTCCCCGTCTGAACCCCTGAGGTGTCTGCCCTGTTCATCTAATCCCATAGGCACTGTAGACCAATTTAGGGACTAGCCTCCTAATTACACAGCTTGAAGACCTCATCAGGCAGATTGCTTTTCAGAGCCAATCACTTCTGTTATTAAATGGCAAATGTTATTCACAGAAGTAGCACCTGATTGGCCACCAGAGCATCTCTTATGAGGCAGGAGGAGGTATTAACTGTTTAATTTTTTCTTAGGAAGTTGGAGTGTATTTTCTTCTTTCAACTAAAGAATCTTTGCCATTTCTCTAGTGTGCTATCCCCTGGGTTCTGGAAAAAGCTTACCCAACATCTCAGTAGAGGGTGCAGGCGTAGGCACAGTGAGGAAGTGTGAGTTTCTTTATCTCATCTGGTGGGTGCATAAAACAACAGCTCTAACTAAACACTTCCTTCCCCCGGCTTTAGAAGCTGCCCATAGAGTACTGAGGTTCATGGCTTCAAAATGCTCAGCTAATCTTCCTTGTATCTATAGAATTTCTTTCTGTTTCTTGTGTAGTTGACTTTCTTTCCCAGCCTGGACATTTCTGTGTCATGCTGTTGTGACACAGTGCAGATTTACATGTATAATCCTTCAAACACATTGAAGCCAAAACCTGTGTTTCCTTTGTTTAGCGTATATTTTGCTTGATAAATTATGCACACAGCTGTCCTCTTCCCTAAACATGCCTGAAGCTACAGTTAATGATCGGAAAGAAGAGAAGTGAATGAAAATAGCGTCATTTGAGCAAAAGCAAATAACAGTGACAACGGTAACACCATCAGTTGGCTCAATTATTTGTAGATGAGGCAACAGGCTCAGAGAAGGGAAATGCCTCTCCTAGCTTCACACTGTTATGCACATAGTTCTGCTCGACATGTAGGCTTGCACTCTTTCCACCATCTGCATTAACTCACTGATATCTTTTGCATCCTCCAAGTGAGTAGGTTTTATGTGGAGGGCCGGAAACTCATTGATGGTTAGAGATATCAGAGATCTGTTTTCAGTACCTTGTATTCTAGGGATTCACTAAGGTATAAAGAAATGGAAGGCCGGTAATTGATATGGCACTAACAGAGTTGACTCTGAATTCTCAAGAAGTTGTTTACCTGTATACAGACATTTTGCTATCTTTTGTCCATTATTGTGGGTTGGCAAGGACAGGCATTGCTAATTAATTGATAGTGGAACTCTTTTCTGCCAGTACCCAGATGGGGTCAGTGATCTTTCTCAATATACAGTATGCCAGTATCTATTGCCAGTTGGTTAGTGTTGAGAGCAAAGCAATCAGTCTGCCTTGTGATAACAGGGAGTGTTCCCCTCCAGTGACAGAATTAAAAGCTAAAGATAAGGACTGGAAATTGTATATGCATGTATGCCTTTTTTTGTTTGACCTATGAATAGTTTAAACATACTGTTAGGGAAATAACTGTAGTTTCCTAAGGCCTGAATCCTACCGTGTCAAACCAAAATGTACATACCTAGATAAATTAGAAGACTTACTTTCAGTAAGTTTCTTTATGAGAAATCTCAGTTAACATTTTTCCCTAAATATGAAGACATAAAAAAACTAAAATGTAAAGTAAGGTTTTGAAGTAAAGTCAGGAGATGCATTTTCCAGTTGATTTAAATGTAATTACCAGGAGTATTCATTCAGCAAGCTTTTGTGCTTCACTGGCACTGCAGCCTCTACTGTGCAGGTGGAAATAGTGAGACTGCCTAGCTTGATGTCTGAGTGAGTACTCGTTTGTCTACAGGGGAAGGTTGCATGGACCCACTTGGACCAGACTGAAAAGGAGCTTGTTGGTAGTAGAATCTGGTAGTTTGAACGGGAATGGCCCCCATAGACTCATGTGTTTGAATGCTTGATATATAGGGAGTGGAACTATTAGGAGGTGTGACCTTGTTGGAGGAAGTGTGTCACTGTGGAGGCAGGCTTTAAGGTCTCATATGCTCAAGCTAGGCTAGTGTGACAATCTCCTTCTGTTGCCTATGGATCAGGATGTAGAACTCTCAGCTCCGTCTTATGTCTGCCTGCATGCTCTCATGCTTCTCGCCATGACGATAATGGGCTAACCTCTGAAACTGTAAGCCAGCCCCAAGTAATTGTTTTGCTTCAGAGAGTTACTGTGGTCATGGTGTCTCTTCACAACAATAAAAACCCTACCTAAGACGTAAGGGTGTGATAGCAGTGTTTTCTGGGTTATGTAGTGAGAAGCTATAAAAGGTTAGGAGGTGGGAGCTAGAGCTTCTTCTTTAAAGTGGGGATGCTTCCTTTACTCTTAACTCTACAAATGATTTTATAAAGGGTGACTGTTTTCTGCAAGGAGATATTTTCTTTATTATTTTGCCCAGTTGTTTATTTTTACGTATATGAGTGATTATGTGTACACTGTGTGCATGCATTATTCACAGGGGCCAGGAGATGGTGTTGGGTCTCCTGGAATTGGAGTTATAGGTGGTTGTAAGCTGCTGTGAACCAAACTTGGGTGCCCTGTAAAAGCAGCAAGCGCTCTTAACTGCTGAGCTGTCCCTCCAGCTCCACTTTTATATATATTGTTCATAGTTGTTTCCTTGTGTAATAATTACTGAATACATTGAACTTGAGGCTCTGTAAAAAGAATAAAGACAAAGTAATAACATTAGACCAAATGCAGCTCAGCCTCTCCTTACCCCTGAAAGTAACTGAAGTTTGATAGGTTGTCTCTTTTATAGCATCTTTCTTGAGCTGTCAAGGAATACTGTCTATCCAAAAGGATGTGACTTTACCCTGTAGGCTCCCTGTTCATAATAAACAGGTGGTGCTTGGTTATAGCAGAGATCCCTTTCCAATACTAAAGACCTATGATTTGAGGCAACATTTAGAAAATTTACTGTAAATACTTATATTTTACACACTCTTAGGTTTTACACATATGTGTATGGATGATCTGGTTTGTTGTCGTGATGTCATACAGGTGTAGAATTAAGGTAATTTAAAGATGAATGGGTAAATTTTTAGACACCTCCTCTAAAACAGGAACAGTGAAATGCTTGGAAAAGTAACATAGGTGTGTTCCACCTTCCATGCCTTTCAAACGTAAAGCTGGAGGAACTCAAGGACAGGACTGGCCTTTGAGTTTAAGGGCATGAATCAGCTCTGGAAAATGTCAGGAGCCTTGTTCTTGTGAGTTCATTGTCTTCTACCCACTTCCTTTTGTTTTTAGGATTGATAGAAGGTGCAGCGAGCATATTGTTCAAGTATGAAGTTGGACATTAGGCAGTCTGTGTATCAGTAAGTGAGCCTGCAAGAGAAGTTACTAAAGGATGTTAGGGGGACTTTACACATTTTCAATACATGGATATGGTGTGTTCATATAATAACTGCTATTGACTGGATATTAACTCTGTGCCAGGCACTGAGTTAGGTATATTGCTTACATTATCTCATTGCTTTTGTTATACGTAGGTACCATATCATCTCAGATTCTTAACGGTCAAATTTATTGTTCAGGGTATGTGGTCCCAAAGCTGGTTTTAAACTGAAGTTTTTCTGATTCCAAGACCCATGCTTTTCTTCTGTCACTCTGCTTTTTCTGTGGTGCACAGCAGTGGCGGTTTACTGCTCATTCCAGAGCGTGAGTGAGTTTGGTATGAGTGTAGATGTGAATGAGTTAAATTTATTTACTCATTCCAAACCGGCACTGGTATATTTTGAGTGTAAAATGTCAACTGGAATTTTTAACGTACGAAATCTTTCATCTGTCTTTACACCAATCTTTGCACAGACCAGCTCTCCTCCCTTGAGGATTTATTGTGGTTTTGATCTGTGTTGCCTCAAACCATTGAAATCTTTTCAAAGAAGCAGAGCTGTTTTCTTTTTCTTTTTTCTTCTTTCTTTTTTTCCTTCCGCAATACACTGGTACCAGGAGTGGACATGGCTTGCTATTCAGCTTGATCAAAGCACTCTACACCAGTGTAACTTCCTGATCTTACTGGTAACAGAACTAAATGTTTCCATGTTCTGCCAAGATGGGTTGCCAGTTATCGACAGAGGGCTTGCATCTGGTAATAATTATTTACTAATTCTGTTTACCTTTTGATCTGGTTTTCAGTGTACAGCTGCAGCTATCAAGGCTATAAGAGAAAGTGGAATGAATCTGAACCCAGAAGTGGAAGGGACACTAATTCGGGTACCTATCCCCAAGTAAGTTTGGCTGAAATCCACGTTTTTCAGTGACACGGAGTGGTTGTCTTGGATGGAAACTAGTACCTTGAGACATTTGGGCCAATGGCATGCCCTGTTATCTGCATCTTTCATCCTGGCTAAGCTGTGAGGTCAGTTTGCTGATGCAGATTTGCTTATCACATATCTGTGTGCGCTACAGCAGTAAGCTTGCAGAACACCTTATCCCTACACCTTGTGGCTGGGAAGTTAGGACAAGTTAGCACACTAAGTCATTACAGATTAAATGAAATAAATTCTAGGAGGAAAGAAAAGCTACCATATCTAGGAGGGAGTGATTGACAGGTGTGATAGTGGGAAGGGCAGTTTTAGCATGGGAAGGTCGTTTAAGGAGTTACCATTTCTGCTGAGAGCAGATGATGAGGGGGGGTCATCAGCCTGGAGGAAGCACTCAAAGAAGGGTGAGTGGCAAGCACAAAGGCCTCAGCTCAGAAAGCAACTTGTCAACTCTAGCCCCATGTTCCTTGTCGGATTATTTTTGCATTACTCTTTGGTAATTGAAGAATTAAAGGCATAAGTCCAGAGTAGTGGGGTTTTTGTTTTGTTTGTTTGTTTTGCTTAATGAATTTTTAAGTGAATAAGAATAGATCTTCCTTCCTGAATTTAAAAAGAGAAGACAGGCTGATGAGATGGCTTAGTACATAAAATCCTTGCCATAGAAGCCTGGCAGTGATTTCCATCCCTGAAGCCCTCATACAGGCAGAAAGAACTGACTCTACATAGTTTTCCTCTGGGTTCCACATGTGGGCTGTGACAGCAACTCCCAATACGCAAACTCACTTCCTGCTTTCCCAACAATAAATGAAAACTTTAAAAAGAAAAGATAATACTTGAGAAGTGGGGTCAGGAGGATCACAAGATCAGGGCCAGCCTGGTCTACACAACAAAATCCTTCCTCAAAAGAACAGATAAGATGGTGGCATGTTTGAGTAAAAGAAAAGCTGGTGTGTCTGAAGCACAAGAAAAGGGTAGTGAGAACAAGAGTTGGATTAGTGCTGACGGGGGAGACTTCACAGGCATGGGAGGAAATGGGATTTCTTCTAATGGTAGTGAGAAGCCATTGATGGGTGCAAGCAAAGGTTTGATCTGACAGGGACTTTGCAAGTGTCTCTCTCATTGCTGGTTAATGTGCAATATTGGAGACAAAGTGGACATAAAAAGAACAGTAAAATTACACAGTCTAGGTGAGACATGAGCCATGGTTACACAACAGAAGAACCACCGTTCCTACACAGTGCCTCACACTGACCAGCTGTGGCCAGGCCCTTTCCTAGTTATTGGGTATAGCAGTAAGCCAAACCACAAAGCCCCTTGTTCCTTTGGAGCTCACCTGCTAGTTGAGCAGATATAATGAACTCCATAGTGTCTGGTGTTGGTAAGATCTATGAAGAGTCAGCATGCAAAGAGATGGAAGAGGGCTGGTTAGATGGCTTCAGTTCTTGGCACCTATACTAGGCAGCTTACAACTGTATCTCCAGTTCCAAGAGATCTCATATGCCCTTTGGCATTGTCTTAGTTACTATTGGTGTGATAAAATGCCATGACCAAGGCAGCCTATGCCTGGGAGAGTTTATTTGGGGCTGGTAGTTCTAGAGAGACAGAATTTATCACCATCGTGGCAGGAGCATGGTGGCAGGCAAGCAGGCATAATGCTGGGACAGCAGCTGAAACCTCACAAACAGAAAACAGAGTGTACAGTGGGGGTGACAAGAGTCTTTTTTGAAACTTCAAAGCCAACCCCACACTTCCTCTAACAAGGCCACCTCTAAATCCTTCCACAGTCCCACCAACCAGGGACCGAGTGTTACGCACTGAATGAGGGCCATTTCCATCCATACCACTCAGACTTTGAGCACTTGCACATGTGTGGTACACATGAACTCATGAAGACATGCCCACATACACATAATTTTTTTAAAAAATATTTTTAAGAAAGAGAAATTTGGGGGCTCTAGAGAAGCAAGCAAGATTCAGGAAGGAAGGGAAATTTAAATGATTGCAGCAGTGACATCCTCCAAACAGCAGAAGGGAAACAGAATGACTAGGGTTCCTTTTGTGTCACCTGTCATCCTGTATTTCTTTGTAAACATTGCTTCATTTGTTATATGATCCTTTTAAAGTAATTTTTCCAATTAGGAAAGTTTAGTCTCCAAGAGGTAAATTAGTGCTGCCCAGGTTTCCTTGGCTACAAAGTGTCACAATGATGTCTTGCTAGGCGGCCAGGTGTTTGAGACCATCCTGCCTCCGCCTTGAGAGTACTGTGAGTACAGATGTGTACCACCAAGCTCAGCTGTGAGAACAGCCCTAACCCTGAAGGAACTGACAACTTCCTTGACTATACTTTTTCCTGCCATATGGCCAGAAAATACCTGTGTTCTTGATACTGTATAAAACAGAATTAACACTCTGCTCTAAAATCTTGTGAACTGGCTAGTATAACTTGTGTTTAACAGCCATAAAATCTTGGGTTCAAATTCAGTGCCTGTTTGCTTGGGAAGTGTCTTCTCAGCATGTGTGTATTCCAGTCTCTTCTGAGGGCACAGAGACCTTATGCTTGCTCATAGGCCATTTGTCAGGCTCTTTGTTTGCATTACCTCCAGATACTTGGGAAAACCACCGTGACCCACAGTTTATAGACAAAAAGCTATGAAGCTCCAAGAAATAGAGATTGCCATGATCATATGACCATTATTGGCAGATAAGATTTGAGAATCGTGAGTTTTTCTGTTACTCTCTATTCTGATGAATAATTTTGGAAAGTACTGAAAGTGATTATGAATATCAGAAGCAAGATTTACAAGTAGAGGGGCTGGAGAGGTAGCGCAACAGTTGGGAGTGCTTACTGTTCTTCCAGAGGACTCAAGCTCAGTTCCTAGCACCTTCTTAGCATCTTCCAACTGTCTGACACCCTCTTCTTGCCACATTGAGTACCCACACATATTTAGCGTATGACCACAGAGACATACACACACATGGTGTAGATAAAAATAAAAGAAACCTTAATTTAAAAGTTATTTTTAAATATTACAAGAGAAATAGATTGTAGGCAGCATCTTCATCCTCTGGTTGTTAAACTTCAGTCTGTAGTCTTGTAGGCCACTTCACTTTTCTGAGCTTTGTCTTTCTCATGGACCAGATGAAAGGGCTCTGCTCGGGTCTGTAGGTCCCTTGATGGTCCTCAAGTTCTGCAATGCTACGAACTTGTGTTGCTAATGTATACTCTTGGCTTGGGTTCTTTTCAAAGCAGCCCAAACGCTTTTCACATTTTTATTTGAAAGGTCAGATTGACATAACACGCATCTCTGCAACCCCACAGGAGTTAACAGTTGCCCTTGGTGTATTGAACATAAGTTTGAAGTATCAGTGTGTTTAACTTGTATTTTCAAAGATGTAGGATTTGTTACATCGCTTTTTTACATTATTTTTATCTTGGTTAATGGATGTAATCCAAGAGAAAGTTGACAGACCAAAACCCTCTGCTCCTGCAAACCTCATTTTTTATATACTTTTCTTCTCCTTGACAAGGTGGTAGGGTCATAAGGCCCCTTACTGAATTATGTGTTTGGTAGTTTTCCAGATAAAAAATGAATGGTCTGTTCTTTATTATGGAAGCTGTGTCATGTGAGTGGATAAAAGTTGATTTTAAAGTAAAAGTACCAAAGTTTTCATTAGTTTTTGGCAGTAACTTCCAAATGACTCTAGCAGATTGCTGTGTTTAGAGCTGATTATTTGTAGAGTAGGTGAAAAAGTACACAATGATAGGCAGAGATTTCATGTGATTAAGAGAGAGAATAACGAATATGATTTCTTTAAAGAAACCACATACACTGCTCCTTCTGTAAACAGTGAATGGTAAGGAGCGAGGAATGGGTAATACACTGAACACCACTCTGCTGGGAGCTTTCGAGTGCCTGACACACTGGGGAAGCAGGGGAGCACAGTGCTTAGATTAACCCTGCCCCCCCCCCATGTATACTGAATTAGGATCCAGCTCTTCTTTTGGCTGTGTGACAATAGGGACTCTTTTCACTTCTGAATCTTGGGAAGTTCATTTGTAAAATTAAATTCATGGGAATTGTTTATATGGTGTTGGGAGATAACGTGATAATGTACTTGGAGCTGTTGATATCCAGTAGAACCCACTTGATGGTATCAAATGCTGCTGTTTGCTGCATTCCCTTTCATAGACAGGCAAGAACATCATTCCCATTTAGAGGTAAGGATACAGATTCAAAGAGCTGAAGTTCTGGCTCTAGGTCTCACAGCTGGTAATTGGCAAAGCTTGTAAGGATATACATATGTACACATGTGTGCACACACGCACCAAGGCAAGTTTGAGAAATACAAGAGAATAAGAATAAATAACTAAGATCCATTTCTGTTTATAATATTTTATGCTTAGCTCTAGGAAAACTTGTTTTTCCTGGCCATTTGTGACTCTTGCACCTCAGGATCATCTGCAGATTTACTTTTCACCCTAGCTCTGGTCATACAGCTATAATTCTCGGCAGCAGCTCTGGTTTCCCACCTCACTTCATCACACTTCTGTGAGTCTCCTAAGTGAGTACGTAGCTCTTTGAGCTAGAAGGAGGTAGAAGATAAACTCCGTGGGTAGGAGGTCAGACAGGAAGCAGAGTAGTCCTTTCCTCTTTTTGTTGCCAGTCAGAGATCATCTCTGTAGCCAGGGTTGTTTTGTTTGTTTTGAAATAGGGTCTCACTATATAGCATTGACTGACCTGGAGCTCCCTATCCTGTGTAGACCAGGCTGGCCTCGAACTCAAAGATAGACTGACTCTGCCTCTTGAGTGCTGGGATTAAAGGCATGTACCTCCATGCTTGGTGACTGTGGGAATGTATCATGCTGTCTCTTATGGGAAAATGGCCTATCCTGTTCTTCAGGAAATAGCTTTGGTACTGTTTTCTCCCTAAATGAAGCAGTGTCTCCATGTTTTCTATGAGAA